TTCGCAGACTGGTACCGCAGAAGATTATGCTTCTAGATTGGCAAAGGAAGGCAAGAGTCGTTTCGGCTTGGAGACCATGGTAGCAGATTTGGAAGACTATGACTACGACAATCTCGATACCTTTGGGGAAGATAAGGTCGCAATCTTCGTACTGGCTACATATGGTGAAGGTGAACCAACCGATAACGCTGTTGATTTCTATGAATATTTCATGAATGAGGATGTTGAGTTCTCTAGTGGTGAGAAATCGCTCGAGAACCTCAAGTTTGTTGCATTTGGTCTCGGAAACAACACCTACGAACACTACAACTCAATGGTCAGAAACGTCACAAAGGCTTTCGAGAAGCTCGGCGCTACAAGAATTGGTGAAGCCGGTGAGGGAGACGATGGTGCTGGTACTATGGAAGAAGACTTTTTGGCCTGGAAGGACCCAATGTGGACTGCATTGGCTGAAAAGATGGGACTCCAGGAACGTGAAGCTGTTTATGAACCGGTTTTTGCTATTACAGACAGAGAAGAGTTGTCAAAAGATTCCCCAGAAGTTTATCTCGGCGAGCCAAACAAGATGCATTTAGAGGGTACATCGAAGGGTCCTTACAACGCCCACAATCCTTACATCGCGCCTATCTCTGAATCCAAGGAGCTTTTCTCCGTCAATGATCGAAACTGTTTGCACTTGGAAGTCGATATTAGTGGATCTAACCTCAGCTATCAAACCGGAGATCACATTGCAGTCTGGCCAACAAATGCCGGAAGAGAAGTGGACCGATTCCTCAATGTTACTGGGCTTTCTTCCAAGAAGGATTCTGTCATTACTGTCAAAGCCTTGGATGCAACTGCAAAGGTCCCCTTCCCTACACCAACGACATACGATGCTATAGTTAGATATCACATGGAGATTTGCGCACCTGTATCACGTCAATTCCTTGCCACTTTGGCCGCCTTTGCCCCCAATGACACCATCAAGGCTGAAATGGAAAAGCTTGGTGGTGATAAAGATTACTTTTACCAAAAGATCAGTAGCAATTATTTGAATATCGCTCAGGTTTTGCAAGAAGTTGGTGGTCAAGAAAAGTGGAGCGCTATCCCATTTTCTGCTTTCGTTGAAGGTTTGGGCAAGATTCAACCTCGTTACTACTCTATTTCGTCTTCCTCGCTTGTACAAAAGAAAAAGATCTCTATTACGGCTGTTGTCGAGTCAATCGATATTCCTGGAAGAACCGATGCTTTGAAGGGTGTCACCACAAATTATCTCCTTGCATTGAAACAGAAGCAACATGGCGATGACCACCCCGATCCTCATGGCCTCACATACGAAATCACAGGACCACGCAATAAGTATGATGGCATTCACGTCCCGGTACACGTCAGACACTCCAACTTCAAGCTCCCATCCGATCCATCCAAGCCTGTTATCATGATTGGTCCTGGAACTGGTGTTGCACCTTTCAGAGCATTCGTTCAGGAAAGAGCTGCACAGGCAAAGGCTGGCGAAAATGTTGGACGAACAATCTTATTTTTTGGATGTAGAAAGTCTACAGAAGATTTCATGTACAAAGACGAATGGAAGGTGAGTAAATCCACTTTCTTTCAGGAATGAATAGAGGAGCAATTTAGCTAACATTTCACCAGGAATACGAAGAAGCCCTTGGCGACAAATTCTCGCTCATCACTGCATTTTCTCGTGAGGGCAAAGAAAAGGTCTATGTCCAGCACCGTCTCAAGGAGCATGCCAAAGAAATCAACGATCTTCTCATGCAAAAGGCCTACTTCTATGTTTGTGGTGATGCCGCAAACATGGCTAGAGAAGTCAATACTGTTCTTGGTAAAATCATATCAGAGCAACGTGGCATCCCAGAATCAAAGGCTGAGGATGTTGTAAAAAGTATGCGATCCGCCAATCAATACCAGGTATGTTATGCTTCGAGCTTTTACTTTCCTTTCCGCATTGTCTACTGCTCCGCCAAATTGTCTGCCACTTCAATCGACTACCTAGTTGGTAGATTGTCATGATTGGAAAAACTCCAGCTTTGAAAGGGCTTCACCAGTTTTATCACCTGCTGCACCTCGTTGAATATCTCAAGTCTTTCTTGTCCAAACATAAGCTAACATGATTATAGGAGGATGTGTGGTCATAAATACATTATCTCTCGTTTTACACACACCGATCTGTATCTCCAAAAATTTCATTCATCTTCAATATCCTACACTGTCATCAAACTCCCGAACCCACTACGCCTCTCCTTTCTTCTTCAGCAAATCTTTCTAGAATTTTCAAGTCCTCTTCCATTATTACCGTATCTAGTATCAAGTACCATGCGGTCATCCAGCTCGCCTGCATAGTTTGCCTCCACCATACCTTGTACTCGCTTGCTTGTTTGCTAATTCACGCGCACGAAATTATCATGTCACCAAATCGGATCAATTGGCTCAAAGGTATATCAATACTTGAGACTCGGAAGCAAAGCAAACTGCGTCTTTTTTTTCCTTTTCAAAATCAAGCATAGTATTTGCAATGGGCGGATCTAGACAACTTTGGATGGAGTTTAATTTTTTGACAAACAGATCTACCTACTCGAGGTTTGATCGTTTGTTTGCAAGGATTGGATTTAGATTGTGATGGGTGCCCTTATCTTTTCACACAGAGGATTTTTCAGTGAATGTTTTATGGGTGAAATGGAGAGGATGGCATGGAACAACACGGAGGCTGGTTGGGATGGAACGAGAAGGGATAGGGAGGGGAGGGGAAGGGAAGGTTGTCACTGGTTTATTATTTACAACCAGTACATTACTCCGGATGCGTTCATGCAAACATAGAAAGCAGATCTCACATGTAATTTTTCTTTCAAGTTCTTTTTCAAACGTTTCTCTTGTTAGATAGGTTGGGTGGTGTATCTAGAGCACTAAGGTAGTCGATATGCCAATTCAAAAGATTCAAAATTACTACTTTTGTATATGAATAGGTGTATCTTCAGCTTGCGAAACAAATGATCTTTGGAGGATGTCTATGTCGAGTAGAAGAAAAGGTTATACAAAAGTCTAGAATCAGATGCTAACAATCTGTAAATTATGACATGTAGAAGAGATTACCCAGAAACAGTCTCAAAGTATAGACAATTACCTCACTCCTATTAGGACTGTGGCAGAGCATGTAATAAGTCACATAGTAACTTATTACTCTAATATCTATCTAGGAACTTATCTCACTTTCATTATCATCATTTGTTATATTAGCATGTGAAAGAAAGAAACTTTCTAGTTTGGAATTTGAAATTTGAAAGTTAGACTTTAGGCTTTAGACTTTAAACTTTAGGGATCGGAAATCTAAAGATTTATTTATTTAACATTAGATATTTTTATGCTTATGTTTATGTTTATGCTTATGCTTATGCTTATGCTTGTTAACCTTAGAGGCTTGGATTGAATGGAATGGAATGGAATGGAATGGAATAGTCAGAAGCATTCATATACCTCGTAGTTAAATAACTCTATGGGTGTTGATGATTAGTTTCTTGATTAGTTGGTTGATTGATTCTATATCGTATATATACATACACACAATATAGGTATCTATCTATCTATCTATCTACCTATCTACCTATCTACCTAATAGATAAACCTCTTCCTCCAAACATTTATCTATTCCCATTATATCACCTGTATACCTAATAGGTAATAGGTAATGACTTATTTAAAACATTACTCATAATCTCTAACGATGTGATACATCTATCCTTGTGTAAGATTACAACTAGGTAGCTACTAGGTAGGTATATGATTCTTCTTCTCGACGACCAATGTACATTTCTAGATTTAATGAATTAGGTTTCATGTTTTGTTTTGCCACGTAATCGATCACTTACAAAATCGTCGTTAGAGCTACGAGGTATGATGAAGAAGAATGATGAGAGAAAGAGTCTTAAGTGTTCAAGTGCCCAAATGTCCAAGTGATGATATCATACTAGAACAGGCCATTCCTCACCGTCCATAACCCCCGAGAATTGAAAAACCAAACCCTTTCAGACGTTTGTTGTTGGCTGTATACGTAGGTATGTCAAGAGGGTGTGTAGAGAAACAGCACATGTGTAACGACTAGTGAGTACACAAAAAAGTGGCCTTCGCGGCTGCCTCGGCGATTTGTCGTTTGTTCACTCCTATTTCGAGTATCTAGGCGAGTCTAGACGCGGGAAGGGTCTGTAGCGACCCGAGCCGGTTGGTGAGTCAGATAGTGTGGGAAGAATGTATATGGGGATTCTAGATTGTGAAGTTCTACATGTGAAATTGGAGTGTGGTTGGATTCTGGACGGTGGATGGTTGGTGGGTTGGGATGGGGGAACAGGTAGATGAATGGATTAGAACTGATATGAATGATTGACTTCGTCAAGTTGGACTAAACCCAAAATTCACTTTTAGTTACGACTAGCCCGCCGTTATTTGAGTTGTATTGATGAAGGGTTGTACTGATGAGAGCTGGTCTTAATTGCAATCGGGTAGCGCAAGGCTAAACTTCCTTTTGGCTACGCAGATGGATGGATAAAGCTGCAATTCTGACCGTATCGGGAACGCGTGGCCGAAGAGTAGTTTGGGCGAGGTAGCAACCCGTGAGAAAGGGTCGACCTGTTGATTTGGTTTATTATCAAAGCCGAATTTTTGCACCCCTCGGATAGGAGGAAAGAGGGGAGCAATATTTCAACCTTGAAATTCTAGAATGACGTCCATTCGATGCGTTTGTTCTTGGTTATCTTCTATAGACCTAGTGAAAGAAAAGTAAACAAATGGGATTCCTATCATGTTTAGTTCTCTGGATGTTAAATTTGGATTCAATTGTTCTCGAATTTCAAGGTGGTGTTTTCGTAGGGTGTATTGTCAGAGGTGCATGGGTAGGATTTGGCGGGGTGATTCTGTAGATTGACAAGGAAGGGTTTCCCACATTGCGCCATGATTGCCAGCCATTAAGGCAGGGTCGTCTGAAGGCCTAGATCTCGCAATCGAAAATTCTTTCAGCATCCAGATACAAGATGGCATTCCTGGAGCTCGTGAATTATGATTCGCTGAACCGTAATTCCATGGTTGGTATTGGAATTTGTCTCGCGCGAATTTCCATCTTTGGCTAGACAGGATGTTGGATTCAGGGTCCAGATCTACCGAAAGATTTAACTGCTTCTCAAACATCCTCATAACCCGGAGCATCATATCCAGATAACGTAGAAATATCCAATTCAGCGTCCCAGAAACCTGGGTTTCCGGTCATTGAAAGTAAAGCTTGCGAAATTTTCTAACCGGCGGTGGAATCACAATCATGGGTTGCACATAGACAATATACATCCCGACTTCTTGGTACGTTCGGCCGAGGAGGTTCCATCTTAATTATCTATCACAGATAACGTGGGTATGTCGTATTTTTCTGGAGACCGCAAGGAAGCTGGTGGAGAAAGAAAGAGGTCAAGGCGCAGAGAAGGGCGAAAGAAACACCTAGTGAGTAAGATATGCCGGGTAGTAATCCCCGCAGCATCCGCGGTTTCCAGCAGCATCGTGTTTTACTCAGTTGATATAAATGCGGTCCAATTGAACTGAACTGTGGCATTTAGCCACAAAAATCAGTAGCATGTCTTGATCAGCAAATAACTGGATTTCAATGTTAAGGACGGGAAACTGATGGCGGTTCAAGCGGGTAGCTCTTAGCGAAAGCCTAGGCTGAGCGAGTAGCACAACGCTCGGATTTTGTGCATTCATTGCTTCACAAGCACCGAAAGTCTCGATCTTTACTTGATATGACAAAATCCTCTCTGAACCAGATGCACCGAGCAAATTAGATGATCCTCGTGTAGTCTTCTCAGGATGCTTAATATAGCAAAGTCTCGAAAGAGGGGCGTATTGAATTGACGTCAGCACGCTCACAATTCATTGTTTGTAGTTGCTTATTCCCCTAAACACCACAAATAGCCGACACATGAACGTCCCTTGCGTTTGTCTAACCCTGCCCCACAATGAGGGTTCGGGGCACATAAAGAGATCTGCGATCCTCCAGATTCTGCAGATTTGCAGTGACAACGACATAACACTCCTTGTTTGGCTACTTACTTGAGTGGCAGACTACTTTTCCATGCAATTTGCCGACTTCATTCGATGCTATGACATGTTATGTTAAGTAGATTCTGGATAGGCATAATGACCAATGAAGATGTTTGGTAGAAGCCAAGAGTTGTGGAAGCCTATGCTGGCTGAGTAGAATCTGTATTCGGTACCTGAAGGCGTAATTTGGTCAATTTTGTAAGCTAATACTGTATCATATTTGCCTTCCATGAAGTTCAGATGGCTTGAGGACCTATAGATACATTCCCTTCACTCGCATGGCACGCACTTGAGGGACTGAGGAAAGGTTATCCCTACTCTTGGCAGGTGGTTTCTATTGTGTAATTTGGTGATCATGGTAGTAGAAGAAGCAAGTAACTCACAGCACACTTTGTATCACTATTGAACATCTGGCTTTCATACCTCTTGCTTGCCTATTAGGTATACACCAAGTGAAGTGCGGGAAGGCACATGCATACCCGTAAAACATGCGTCTTCCTAAAAGGGGGTTTTTGTCCCTTCTGTTTGACTTGTTTCCCTTATCCTTATAAGCTTCGAGTCCACATCTCGATATTGGCAATGGTAATAATTAATTGTACTTTATCTTGATGTATGTTCGCGTATTTTGACGTGTAAAGATTTTGTAGTTTGAAATCTTTTGGGTGGTCCATTTGAAGTTTTTCTCTTGCATTATTGTGTTGTGTTGCCGACATCAAGCTGTCATCAGTTTGCAAATCACACTTCACATCGCCGACATCGCGCTTTCATCAATCTTCACAGATTATCTCTCGCCAACATACGCACCTGCCTGATTTGATACATATTGCTTTACAGTCGTTGCCTTGTTTAAGTTATCACTGGATTTGAGGAGCTATCTACCTGGGAACCCACCTATATCACCTCAATTCTATCTATACCCATCTCTGCCTCTACTTCTACTTCTCTATCCCACATATCACTTGTGTATCTACGCCTTCGCCGAAACCCGTTCATAGATAGCTATCTTTCTACCGACATCCAAGAATATTCATCCATTCACACATACAGCAACTGTACCGGCAACTCTGCTAGGGACAGCAACGGCAAGAGCAACTGTATGTTTATGTTTATGTTTTTGATCATAGTCCTTACCTTTGCCTTGATCGTTCGAGTGCTCTGGTAGTCATTATCCTTTTGTTGTTCACTCTTTCTTGTTTGATCTGTTAACATAGCAACATAGCAACATAGCAAAAGGGAACTCGAACCTTCCATTATCATCAAAAAGAACAGTTGATCAGCAGCTCTTTCGCAGCGAGAATACCAATTTCAAGTTATCACGTTGTCACATTATCACCATATCATCTGCAACTGCCTCATATGAAGACAACAAAAACATCACTCGAGCCGGTACCGGCAGTGGTTGCCGATTTAAAAAGCTCCAGACAAATACGTTCTTTCTATTTTCACCTCGTTCTGGTCCTTCAATTACTCTTAGCTTCGTGGACCCCTTCTTAACGAAATTCTCATCTCATCTTCTCTTCCTCTTCTTTTCTCTCTCTACATCAAATCACATTAAGACCAATTCTTCATCACAATCTCTACCTTACAACAACCACCTGGCTCGATAGCTTTCTATCATTCTAGAAAACTCTACTCGCTACTAAATTCATTTTCTTCCCCGTTTCTTGAAAGTAGCTTATTCAAGTTTACTTCTACTCGTCCTATCATACATCTGGAAAACGCTACCAAAAGGGAAATAGTCTCCATCCAATCGTCTTCTCAAAAAGGTGTGTGCAATTGAACTCATTCACTCACTCCTGCACTCTTCTTCTTTCATCCTCAATTGGCGGTTGCTGAGTATGAAACCCTCTAGTTGGATTGCTTGAGAATACCATTATTTGCGTAGAAAGCGTTGTTCTTGTCAAGAACTGTAAAGTAAGTCAAGCAATATCTCAATTCTCTCAATTGTATCCAGCGAATCTGTTTCTGCATTGCAGATTCCCGATCGATGATTTCTGGCCATCTGCTTTGTTTCGCTGGGTCACAAACATCATTTCTAACAATTCACTTTCACTGTCCTTATTCACTACCTCTTGTCATTCACAAGGAAATCATCCCTTCGAACTTCCCCACTTCTGAACTTCCCATCTTTATCTATTTTTGCAATACATTTCATCTCCCATCAACTACATCCTCCATCAATCGTCAACTCATATTTGGTGCTAACAAATATCTTACATGCAGGATACCATGTCTTACCCTCAAACTGCCACACATGCTGAAGCAGCAAATGCATTCCCAAACCGCACCACAACAACTATGTATACTCAGCAACAAGCTCGCACAACTCGAGATTCTCAAGGTCAGCAAGCCACATTTGCTCAGGCCAGCACTGGCATTACCCAAGCTGGAGACGGCGCCATGAACGCAATGATGAATCAGTTTGCTGGTTTAGCTATTCCTGGCAACATGTCTAATTCTACAGGTCCAATGGCTACTAACCAACATCATTTGGGAACAGGCCAAGTCTACTTTCAAGTTACCCCTGATGGCCTTGTGTATGCACCAAGCATGTTCCAGCCACAATCGTTGGCCCCTCAGCAGTTATCTGAGAATGCATACAGCATGAACTCCTTTCCTGGAGCATTACCCTATCTTGCACAGGCATCTTCGGTCTACCCTGGCTATGTTCCAGGATACCAACAAAATATTCCGTACACACCAAACGCCCGATCTGCCTACTATGCTGACAGATCCGATCATTCTCACTCTACCAAGGATGTTCCTGGTCTCGAGAATCGCCGCGGCTCTTACTCCACTACTGAGTCTCTTCCTGGAACACCGTACTATGCCTCATTCGCTAATCGTGAATCTGGTGCTTATATTGCTGCGATTGACCGATCTCCATTCGGCTCTACCCCATCTCCTCAACAGCTTCCAGTTCCTCATGCTCAATCGCTCGTCAAGGCACTTCCTTACCCAACACTTCCAATCGGTGTTGATATCCAAGCTCTTTTGAAGCAGTTTCCACCAATTCCAAAGGCTGTTCCTGCAGTTTTTACTCCAACCGAGAATATGAGAACTTTGGATCAAAGTTTGCACAATCCTATCAAGAACAACCGCAATGTCTACATTCGTGGACTTCACCCAAACACTGATGACGAGACACTCGCACAATATGCTGCCCGCTTTGGTAAAGTCGAGACGTCTAAGGCAATCATTGACACAGCCACTGGTGCTTGCAAGGGGTATGTCGTTTCCCTGCAAGGAAGTTTCCTACTGCCACTAACAGCTTCATAGATTTGGTTTCGCTAAGTATTTTGATGTTCGCGATTCGGAGATGTGCATCCGTGGTTTCTGGGAACTTGGTTACGAAGTCGGTTTTGCTAGAGTATGTCTTCAACCATAGAATTCCTTGAAAGTAGCTAATTTTTCACAGGAATCTTTCAATGCTCGTCTTAAGGCAGAGGGTGATGAGGCATCCACCAATCTTTATGTTTCCAATTTGCCAAAGACCATGACCGAATCTGTAAGACGGTCCTCATAACTAGTTGCTCTTGCTTCAACTAATGTTGTTTTAGGAACTTGGTGCTATTTTCATGGACTACAAGGTCAGCAGTAGCCGCATTCTTCGTGATTCTCAAAACCACAGCCGAGGCGTTGGATTCGCTCGGTAAGTTGACAGTCTTCCGCTCTGCCACTTCCATAAACTTATTTTTGTACTGCAGTTTCGAAAACCGTGATGTCTGCGAGGAGATCATCAGAAAGTTCCACGGCCAGCCGATCGGCGAAGAAGGTCTCTTACTTCAAGTTCGTTATGCCGACACTCCAGCACAAAAGGATTTGAAGCGAATCACCACTGAACGTCGTCAATTCCGCACCAATGAGTACAACGTTGGAGCTTATGGCGCCCCAGCTGCCGACATGATTGCATTGGCTTCTCCTCCAATGCCATCTCCAATTCTTCCCCGGGCTTCTCAGATTGCTCGTCACCTTCCTGGCCCCAGATCCAGCGGATCTTGGAAGAGAGATGGTGTTCCAAGGTATGCTATACCTTTATTCTTTTACTCCAACGGCACTAATGTGATTGTAGCCCTGTTGGTCGTGTCTCAGGCTTCAAGGACTTGGACCGATCGGTTGTCAAAGTTTCCTTGACCGAAGCCTCTCCCAAGAAGCCTTTGACCCAGTGAGCTTATTCCACGGGCAGTCTATGGGGCACTTGAATACTAACTTGTCGTCAGTACCGTTATCTCAAGCGTCACTCCAACCGTTTCCGAGAGTGGCTCCGCTGACGATGGAGTCACAATTCACGACTCCCCAGTTGTCGTACACAGCTCATCCATTGCACATAGTGCCTCCATCACCTCTCCATCTACTCGCAAGTAGAGAGATCAACATGGTTCTGTATCATCATACCTTCATGTCAACATTTACTCAATTTTGTGGTCCAAATTTCATTATTGCACGAACACTTACCTCGCAAACGACGAGGCATACCCTCAATTTTAACGATACCTAATATGATAAATCCATATCTTCCAGCATACATGCTTATTCACCAAGCATACATACATAATCCTGGTTGAAATATTATCTATGTTACATTACATACTCGCTTCTAGTTCAATATTTTTCGAGGCTGGCAATCTGTACATCCACGAGGGTGTGACATATTGACGATAGTGGTGCGAAACATTACTTTCATGTCAGCATGTGAGGATATCAGGCAGATTACTCTTTTCATTGTAATTTTTTTCGTTTTCATTGTTCTTGTTGCAACAGTACTAGGTAGATGAGACTTTATTGTAGCATAATCAAGCTAAATTTGCATCAACTTCACATTATATTTATGAT